AGAAAGAAAGAAAGAAAGAAAGAAAGAAAGAAAGAAAGAAAGAAAGAAAGAAAGAAAGAAAGAAAGAAGGAAGGAAAAGAAAACTACAGATAATGCTATAGATAACAAGGAGAAAATTAAAACTTTCTCAAATGTTGCAAGAATGTACTAACATCCACATTTCATCCACCTCTGTGGATTGGGTGCAGGTACAATGTGGTACTCCCCATTTTCCCAAATACGATGAGACCTTCGGGGAAATTCTAGCTGTCCACTCGTGTTTTAGGGGTTTAACGTGGAGTCGTACGCAGTTGTCATTACTGAGTCTGTTTAACCTAAGTTCCTCTTTAAGGGTTTTGTCCAACCCTGGAGTGTAAAACAAAACTTTCCTTCATCAACAACAATGGAAACATATTTCCTTTCCAGGGATTGAACCACTTCTTTTCTAATCTAAATCTAGGATTTAACCTTCTTTATTGACTATCTTGTGGCAGAAGTCTACATTTTTGGAATTTTAACATGCAAGTCAAATGCCCTCATTTGACAGGTGTTTATTGAGTACCTGCTTATATAGGGCACAGTGCTGTTACCCTACTGGAGGGTTAGATGGGCTGATCTTTAATCATGAGACGAAAAACATTGGGGACTAGACTGGAATTGAAACCCATTCCACACTACAGCTTTTGAGAGTGGCATGTGTGTGTGTGTATGTGTGTGAGTTTTTTGTCACAGAATGAGTGTGCTCACCAGAGAGACAGACACAATGAGAAGGAAAGTGAGAAATCACCCCCCGGGGGGATGGCCACACCACAGTCCTTTCTTTCTCCTCCATTCTCCTCCCTGGATCTTGGGCATGCATGCACACGTGTCCGGCCTGATTTTGAAGTCACTGGGTCCGGGACTCAAACTGTAATCAACCATGTGGGAGTCCAATGACATAACCGCTACACCTCCTGCTGGTCACAAGAGTGGCTTTCTTAGACACAGGAAAGGGCATAAAGACCAGTTCCTGGGACTTATTTGCAATTACTTGTCACATTCTTCAGTGGAAGCCTCTGTCGAAGTCCTCAAATGAAATGTGATCATATCCCATTGTCTTGTCTGTTTCTCATGATGCTTTGTTCTTTGACCCAGAAACAGAAAGGATAGTGCTAGAGGCAGGAAATGGATTGCCCTCCTGGAAATTCAATGACCAGCTTTTCCCCTGTGATGTGTGTGGGAAAGTCTTTGGCCGACAGCAGACATTGTCCCGACATCTCTCGCTGCACACAGGTGAGTTGGACCTTCGGCCGCCATGCCCCCCACCTCCATCACCAAGTCCTCTGTTATCAAGAAGCTGAGTTTCTCTCAGAGAATTGCTACAGGAAGTGGTGAGAACAAGTTTCTCCTGACCTTTTCAAGCCATTTTACCTGGCATATTTAAATAAGATCCTGGAGAGGCTTTTTAAATTTGTGTTGAAAAGACCTATTGAGTTTCAAGTAGGACTGATGAGAAGAGAAACACATTTAGGTAAACTCCATTAAGAACGTAGGGATCTCATCTTGAAGGTGCAGGGGAGAGGGCTACAACTCATCTTATTGGTTCTTCTCAACATTAGAGCAGCCATGGAAGGAGCATCTGGGTGGAGAAACAGTTTCTAGGTCTATTCACATACAATAGTGGACAGATATGGTGGATTCTGAGAGTCAGAAACGGGAAGGCAACCAAGTGAACACAGGGCAAAGATAACTTCATCAGGACAGCCAAAACAGATGAAGACAAAAAGATAGAAGGTAAAGTCACTCATAAACATAAAGCAAAGGTGAAAATAATAAAATCAAATATTTTAATTTTACATTGAAAATTAAACTTGTTTAGAATCTATGAACAGATATGTCTTGGGCCCACAGATGACACGTAGGTTAAGGCAGCTAGATTCCACATGGCCAAATACATGGTTCGAGTCTTTGACCCAGTGGCTTGAAGAACATGCCAGGCATATGTGCATGTGTGTCCAAAATCCCAAAAGGAGAATGGATTGTAGTGTGGCCACTCCACTCCCGCCCAGGGGTAGGGGGGGATGATAGCTCACTTTCTCTGTCTGTCTCTGTCTTTCTCCAGCAAGCCCAAGTGCCCTATATCAAAAAAACAATTTAGATATGTCTTATTTATAGCAAACAAAAACAAAATGATAAGAGTTCAAAAAGGTTCGAAACAACAAACAAAATTTTAAAAGATTGGCAGTATTAGTCTGACAAGATTAATAAGATTAATATTATCTTTTTTCTTTTCATATTTTTTAAGATTTGTTTACTTAATTCTGTTTTGTTATTATTGTTTTTTAATTTGACCAAAGAGAGACAGAGATAGAGAAAGGGAAAGTGAGAAAGCAAGTCGCCAGGTCCGGGACTCGACTGCAGTCAGCCATGTGGAATCCAGCACCTCTAACCACCAGACCACCTGCTAGCACTCTATGAAGACAAAATTTATTCATGTACTTAGGCACAAAGAAAACTTGAACATGTTCCAAAAAGTGGAGGGTTTATAGATCATGTCCTTCGAGCCTACTAAATGAATTTAAAATAACCAACAATTAATAAATTGCCCTATGTAATTGCATCAAAGAGAATGGAAGGAAATTGAAATTAAAATGCTAGCTAAGAAGGAGTGAAAAGAACACTTTGCATATAAACCTGGAAAAAATCAACCACATCTCTAGTCAGAGGTAAATTTAGATATTTTAAATGCTTAGATTTTTTATTTTGTTTTGTTTTGTTTTGAAGAGAGATTTCCGCTATAGGACACATGTGCTCACCAGAGAGAGAGAGTCAGAGAGAGAGAACCCTCCCCTCCCCCCCCCAGGAGGAATGGCCATGCCACAATCCCTTCTTCTCCATTCGCTTAGGATTTTGGGCATGCACACACCAACACACCCAGTATGAATTCCAAGCCACTGAGTCCAGGACTTGAGCTGCAGTTGACTATGTAGGAGTCCAATGATGTAACCATTACACCATCTGCTGGTCCCTAGATGCTTTAACAGAAGAGAAGAAAGACAGAAATAAAGGAACTTAGCACTCATCCTAAGGAATCACAACATCTAGGAAGAAGACAGCCACAACATAGATAAATACCTTTATTTGATTAAGAATGGAAAAGGAAGCAAAAATGTTCAACATTAGGAATGAAAAAGGGAGGCTAGTCATCAATACAGATGATATTAAAGAAGTCTTAGGGAGTAAGCATAGTCTGTGGCCAAAAAAATACTGAAAACTTAGATGACTTGGATAATTGAAGCAAAATAACCAAAATCAACCCAAGAGGGGAAGGGAAACTTAATATATCAGATACCAAAAGGAAATTTGGAAAGACAATGAAGGAAGCACAATAAAGGCATCAGATCCAGAAAATTTCCCAAGAGAGTTCTTTCTAGCCTTGTGAGAAGAGGAAATTCCAGTGTGATTAAGTCTGTCTAAATGATAGAAAAAGATAGAAAGCACCATAGCTCCCTTTATGGAAGAAGCATAACATTAATATGAATGCAGACATTCTAAAGCAGGGGCTGCACTAGAGGGCTCCTCCCCAACCTCACGGAGCCCCAGCTGCAGTCCTTCTGATGTTGGGACCTGCCTGTAACAATAACGAGGTCTTACACTTTGTTATAGAAAAACGTTCTTCCCCGCAAAGTAAATAAAACAGGTGTTCTCTTTACGCCAGGCCCTGTGTTACCAAGTAAGAATTAAGGCTAGAAGGCCAAGTCCTCTCCCTCTTTTGCTGCCATTGCCTTCCCTGTAAAATGAAATCAGAGCGCTCCTTTTACTTTAATTTGCTAGATTAATCAAATGAATTCAGAATGCCACTCTGGAAATGCTACGGAAACATTCGTCAGTTTTATGAGAGGGTTTCCATTAGGAAATTAATTGAAAATTTTCATTTTACATAAATAAAACGTAAATTTTCGATTAAATTATTTCACAAAGTCATTTTTTTCCCTTTAATTTTATTAGTGTTTGATTTCTTGGCTGACCCAGGCCTGGAGCTTAGGGAAGATGATGGAGCCTTTCTTCTTCTCCTTTTTTTTTTTTAATCATAAGAGATATTTTTCCTATAGGGTGTGTGCACTCGCCAGAGAACCAGAGAGAGACAGAAAATGAGAAATCATCCCCCCAGGGGGATGGCCATACCACAATCCATTCTCCTCTCAGAATCTGGGGCATGCATACACACGTGCCCAGTTTGAGTTTGAAGCTTCTGGGTCCAGGACTTGAACTGCAGTTGGCCATGTGGGAGTCCAATGACGTAACCATTATGCCATCTGCTGGCCCCAGATGGGGCCCTTCTTATACCTCGGTACTATGAAGCTGTGTTTCATCCCCCAGCTTGGCCCACACTCACCCATGACCAGGCATGTAGGTAATGCACGCTTGCAGAGACACACAGAGGCATACAGTGTCCTTTTATCCCCTCTAGGGCTTGCCCCATAGGAAGAGGGGCTGTGGATGTCCAGAAAAAAGCAGATCATCTACTTGCCCTGAGACGTTCCTCTTTGCAGTATTAACACAAGAGTGGCCTGCTGGGTAGACTTCCCGATACTTGATTCCAAGGTGTTCCCTTCGTCCCCATTTGATATGACACTTGAACCAACCTTTCCTCGATGCCATGAACTCATCTCTTGCAGGGGGTCGGCATTTCATTTTTTGAGAGTGGTTTTGGTTTTATCCTGTTCCTTTTTTCCCCTAGACGAAAGAAAATACAAATGCCACTTGTGCCCCTATGCTGCTAAGTGCCGTGCAAATCTGAACCAGCACCTGACCGTCCATTCCGTGAAGCTGGTGAGTACAGACACCGAGGACATCGTCAGCGCCGTCACCTCCGAAGGCAGCGACGGGAAGAAGCACCCGTATTATTACAGGTGAGTTGTGGATGGAACACGGGCCCCTTGCTTCAGCACCCCCTGCCTGACTGCTAAGGGCACTTGTCACAAAGCCCCCTTTCTCAGCCATCTGCTGGCCTGCATTTGAATTTTTTTGTTTTTTGGTTTTTGGGTTTTTTTTTGGCTTAGACTGAACCCGGCAGTTACACAGTCTTCTCTCCTGACTTGGGTGTCCCTGGTAGAAGTCATTGAAAGGGAAAAGGGCTTGGAGGTGGGTCTCTGGGGTGGAGCTCCAAAGAGTGACAGGGCTCTGGGGACGAATGGTTTCTCGGTCTGTGCAGCCCAGAAGCTCCTTCCTTCGTAACTGAGTCCCTTGCCTCTGCATCCTAAGAATTGCAGGGGGGAAGAAAGAAGGAAAATAAATTCAAGGACCAAAACATCACGTAGTTCCCCTCGGCTGAATTTTTCTTTGGTACCTGGATTTTTGGTTTTGTTTTTATACTCAGCTATGAATTAATATTTGGTTTGGTCGCTCTAAAACCCTGAGTTCCAGGCTCTCCGCCGAATTTCGCCCAAAAGACCCATCACGTAGATGGATGGAAACTGTCTGTGCATCTCCAGGGAGGGGCAGCTCCCATCAGGGCTTGTCTCAGATAGGGCCGCCTCTTGCTGGGATGCCACAGGACAACCTGTGGCGCCGTCACCACTATGATGGAAGGTTTGGGAGCCAGACAGAGGCTCATGGGGTGCGCAACGAGCTCTGAGTTTATCGGTGGACGAGCGTCACTAGCTACCTTGGCAGCACTGCCCCTCATCTCCTTGCCCAGAGGAGTCAGTGAGGGGAGGCGCGGCATCTGCAAATGTGTAGTTTTTAATTAGCTTTATGATTACTTAGCGTCGTGACAGCATGTATGGGATTGTTACATGATGCTGGCACTTAATCCATTTGGCACGGTGACCACTTCGGAAGCATCCCAGATAGCAGAAGAACATTCTAATGCAAAAGCGTTTTGGTGGAGAGGGAAACGTGTGTTAAGGTTCCAGTCTTCCCGGTGTGCTCCGTATATGAGCGTGGCCTCCATGTAGGAGACATATCACTCTCCTCTCTTCCCCGCTTCCCTTCCTTTCCCATAGCTGTCACGTGTGTGGGTTTGAGACTGAGCTCAATGTCCAGTTTGTCAGCCACATGTCACTCCACGTGGACAAGGAGCAGTGGATGTTTTCCATCTGCTGCACGGCCTGCGACTTTGTCACCATGGAGGAAGCAGAGATCAAGACTCACATAGGCACCAAGCACACAGGTGAGTGGCCCTGTCGGACCTTCTCACCCTTTTCCTCCATCCCTTGCACCCCAGGGTGCCCGCCACCCTGCAGAAGCATCCCCCGCTCTGTGAGACGTCACCATCTCCTTCCACAAAAGGAAGACTTGCCCAGGGTAGCAGAGCTTCGTTCCCCAGCAGCCATGAATTCACACCTCCCTGAGCTGGAGACACGAGGTGCGGTGCAGTGGAGAGTGCTGAGCTGTCTGCTTGTTCCCCGCCCTGGCCCTTGTCCCCATTGCCACACCTGGAAGTCATTAGGCTCTTATGATGCCCCAGGCTTGCGCCTCTGCGTGCTGGAGCTCCTTTAACCCTCCTGGCTCCGAGGTGAAACTGGTGCCGTCACACCGTACGGGCGGAGAGACAGGCTTACCAGAAGCTCCGTAGTCCGTCCAAGCTCAGCAACTCAGCTGTGGCTGCAGACACTCAGCCCAGGGAAGTGTTAATGCCAGGCCTGCTCTCTGTGTCACTGCTGCTCTGACAGCCCGGTGACACTCTTGGCAGAGCTGTGACCTCCCCATCACACTGTGCCAGGGCACTGCGCACCCAATTCTGCCGGCTCCTTGCTCTCCCGTGAACCTGCAGCCCTGACATGTTTCATAACGATGCATGGCGTGTCTGCTTAGGGGCAAAGAAAACCAGATACTTGTGAAACACACCGCTCCTCCCTACCCGCGCCCCGCCAGGCCATGGTCTGACTTCGCCAGGATTGCCTTGCCTTGCCACCTCTTGCTGTTCTGGTTAACTTCCTCCACCAGATGGTTAACATGTGACTTCGCCATGCAGTTGTACTCCCGTGACTGGTGGTTACAGGTGATGCCGACATCCGGGCATTAAGGGAGAATCAGGAGGAGCTCTCCCACACTGCAGGGCGGGTGGAGTAAGTGCTTGACGTTGCTAACTGCCAGCCCCGGGTGCTGGGTCAGCCCGCACATTCTCAGCCCTGGAAGGATTGGAGAAGGGGAATTTCCCTGACAGTTGTGCTGACAGTGTACATGGCCGAGAAGGATCTCTCTGTGCTTCTCTGGCCACTTTGGCTCGGTGGTGCCAACAGCAATAAAAGCTTGTTTTTGTCAGTAAATTGAGCAGCTATGACTCGGAGGTCTGCAGAGAGCCATTATGCCGAGCGAGAAGGTGTCATTTTTACAGTCAGTTGTCTGCCTGTAACCACATTAACACCATGGGCAGCAGGTGAGCTGGGAAGCCCATGCTGTAGACAAATTAAATTCGGCATTTTCAACCTGGCTAATGGAGGGAAAGGCCAGCCTCTTTTCCATTTCCACTGACTCTTCAGATATTCTTTTCTGTTTAACTCTTGTTCTTTGCCCCAAAGTCTGCTTGATCCCAGCTGCTCCTCTTTCTCCCTCCTTCTCTGCCCCACAGCCCCTCCATCACCACCTCAAGGAAGCCTTACAAACCACAAAGGCTAGAAAGAGGCTGAACTTAACATGGCTTCCTTGTCATCAGTGGAAACCGCATTTACAGCTAACCAATGCAAACACACTCCCCTCCTCACTGCCACAGTGGATGTTGGGAAGGCCTATTCCCTCTGAAGGGGCAGGCTCCTTGTCTAGCTGGGAAGAACATTCTCCTTTGTTAGCACTGAGAACCAAGAGTGAAATGCCTTAAAGGCATTTCTTTTTTAATTCAGTAGATGCCTGCTATTAGATAAGGCTAAACCTTTGTTTTGTTTGTTTGTTTGTTTGCCGTAGGGTGCATGTGCTTGCTGGAGAGAGATAGAGACAGAGAGAGGGAAAGGGAGCCCCAAGCTCTTCCTCCATTCTCCTCTCAGGATTTTGGGCACACATGCACACACACCCAGTGTGTTTCAAGACCCTGGATCCAGGACTTGATCTGCAGTCGGCCATGTGGGAGTCCAGTGCCTTAACCACCGTGCCACCGCTAGCCCCAGGTTAAATTTGTTTTATAAGCCTGGGCCCTGCAAACGTCTTTTAAAGGGTCAGATAGTAAATATGCTAGGCTTTCAGGCCACACGGTTTCTGTCACTACTGCTCAGCTCTGCCAATGAAACTGAGGAGTATCATAGATGATATGCAAATGAGCAGGTATGGCTGTGTGCCACTAAAGCTTTATTTACAAAACCAGGAGGCCCGAGGGCTATAGTTTGTTCACTCCTGTCAGAAACTTAGGGTCGCTCTTCTCGTAATTGGCCCGAGGTGATCTTTGAAAATGGTTTGCTATTCACTTGACCCAGAGAACCCCACAAAGTCATGCAAATCAGGAGGTTCAAATCTTCGTGTTCACTTTAAGAACACTCGTGAAACTGCCCAGGCCATCAAGGGTATGCATATCTGAAAAGCCACCAAGTATCTGAAGGATGTCCCTTTACAGAAGCAGAGTGTGCCATTCTGTCATTACAATGGTGGAGTTGGTAGATATGCCCAGGCCAAACAGAGGGGCTGGACACAAGGTTGGTGACCTAAAAAGAGTGCTGAATGTTTGCTGCGCATGCTTAAAAATGCAGAGAGTAATGCTGAACTGAAGGGGTTAGATGTAGATTCCCTGGTCACTGAGCACAGTCAGGTTGACAAGGCAGCCATGATGCACCGTCGTACATACAGAGCCCATGGACGGATTAACCTGTACATGAGCTCCCCCTGCCACATTGAGGTGATCCTCACTGAAAAGGAGCAAATTGTTCCTAAACTGGAAAAGGAAGCTGCACAGAAGAGAAAGAGATCCCAGAAGAAACAAAAACTTAGGGCACAGGACTAAAGTCAGCATAAAATAAATGCAGATAAAATAAATAAACAAACAAACAAATAAACAAACTATGGTCTCACCGCAAGGGTTTCCTCCTATATATTTAGTGCTGTTTTGAAGTCTTTGAATTTACCCAAAGTTATATTAATCTAAATCTGTAAATTAATCAGCTATATTATTACAAAGGTATGGTACAAAGCAATATGTATACTATATAACAAATAATTCACAGACATACTTGGGAATTAAGTCTGCTGTTTCTCTAGCACCTGGAATAGTGTTTGCACAGCACAAGTGGGGAGTAGGTGTTCAGTGGCTAAATGTATGCATGCGGGCTTATCTGCACATGTGTGTGCATGCTCAGTAAAAATATTACTCACACATGTCCCTTGCATGAACCTTAGCAGACTGTCAACTCACTTACAGCCTATGTGGAGGAGGTTACTCAGTTCTGAGGATAGCACACACTGAGTCCTAGATCCTTATTAGACCCCATGTTGCCATAAACAGCATTTAAATGTAGGAACTCATTTCATTTCTCTGGGTCTCCATCCTGTCTATCCTTTTTTTTTTTTTTTTTAAGAGAGATTTTTGCTATAGGGCTCACTGGAGAGACAAAGAAAGAGATAGAAAGAAATCACCTCCTTCCCAGCCACACTGCAATCCCTTCTTCTCCTTTCCCCTCTCAGGATTTTGGGCATGCGTGTACACGCACCCAACATGAGTTTTAAACCGCCAGGTCCGGGCCTCCAACCGCAGTCAACTACGTGGGAGTCTAGCGACGCAATCACTATGCCATCTGTTGATCCCCGTCTGTCCGTTTTTAAATGTGTAGAAGATGCCTCACAGCCCTAAGAGTCTCTAGTTCTCTGAGCCTTGCTCTCTCGTTTGGTTTACCCGTCTTGGGAAAGGGCACCTGTTAGTCAGTGCCCTAGTAACTGCGGTGCTGTCTTGTTACCTACGTCAGTTTGTGATCTGCAGCATGAGCTGTGATCAACGGAGCGGATGGTGTCCAGCCTTCTGCAGAACGTTGTCAACCTCTCTTTGGTTACTGCTACCCAAGACACACATGAATGGGATGCCCGGGGGTATTGAAGACCTGCCCTCTCCTGGTGTTTGTGTGTAGTGACCCCTCCCTCCCCTTTTCTCCCACTCCCCAGTTCCTTTTCCCTAGAGAGAACATCACCAAGGGGAAAATACACCCCTGGCACTGTGTCTTCTTGAAGGCAGATTTTGCTATACTTTTCAAAGGGTACAATAAATGAAATTGAGGGGGCCAGCTGTGGTGCCAGTTTTGCAACTGGACCCACATGAGAAAAGTTCTGGGTTCGTGTCCTGAGGCCTTCCTGAGCACGCCAGGTGGATGTGTGTGTGTGCCCCTAATCTGGCCCAGCTGAGACTGAGGGTGAATCACAGTATGAAGAGCCTGTCAGTGTCTCTCTCCCTTTCTCACAAAAGAAAGAAAGAAACTTTTTTAAAAAAATTAAATAAGTGGGTTGAGGAATCTGAGTAGCTCTTTGGAAAATACAGCCATTGATACCTCACCTCACATTGAGACACCATTAGTTCCAGATGACTTGCAGAATCCCTGTTAACAAATCAGCCCTAAAACACCATAAAGAAAGGAGAATAGAATGTTTTTCAAATGACAGAGAAGAATTTATAAAAGCCTAAGTGATGAAAGAAATCACAGAGGAAAAAAAAATCAAGACATTGACAAATAAAAGTTTCTTCTATTTGAAAAAAAAAAAAAACACAGAAAAATAGCAAAGAACAGGAACAAAAACTATAGTCTGAAAATTGGGTTTATAAAAATGACAAAAGATTAATATATTTACTACATAGAATATTCATATAAACTGGTAAGAAAAACTTTAGGCTTCTAATTGAAGGATTTTCAAAGGAGATGAGGAAAGGAACAGTGAATTCACAAAGAAAGAAGTAAAAACAAACCCACAATGAACCACAGACCCTCACTAGCAGTCAAGTGGAAACACAGGGTGGCTTTGTATTTTACCCATTAAATCAGGAGAATATTTTATGGTGTTACCTGCTGTCCCTGGGACAAGGCAAGTACTCATGTTGCTGTTTCCCT